CACGGCCCCGAGGCTCTCCTAGGCTAGGCGACCCAGCCTCCCTGCAGTCCGTGGCTGGAGGAGCAGGCGAATGCGACCTGGGGCGGGGACGGAGCGGGGTAGGGGCTGGAAGGGACACCAAGACCACCGAGAGCTTGACTGTGTTAGGCGAACTGCTTTGGCGAAGGGAAGGAACCTTCCTTCCTACCCTGCATGTGTGTTCCCAGGACCTTTGTGCTTTCCCTTGCGGGTCACATTCTACCCAAGCCCGCTTCAGCGTAGGAGCAAAGGCCCCCGGAAAACGGTGTGGCACATTTGCTCTGGTCTATCAAGATCATGATGGCCTAGCTCACCAACAGCCGCCTCATTCATTCATTGATGGATTTTCCCAGCAGATGTTCACCCAACACCCTTTCAGAGTTTGTGTTCTAGTTAACTGTGTCCACGCCAAGACCAGCTCAGTCCAACTCTAAGGATCATTAAATAAACTCAGAGCCACTGGTGATGTAGGGAAGCACAGAGCCTGGCCTCCGTGCCTCCATTAGTACTTTGTATAAGGTGTTGACACTTCTGAACTTTAATTTGATAATATACGAAGCAGAGAGGGTACCCACTTTGCTGATTTGTTGGAAGGAGTGAAAGAATTATGTTTGTAACAAAAAGTACTTTTGCAGCAGTAGAAAGCTATAGTAATTATAAGTAATTATTGTTTTATCTGTCCAGTGAGTGAATAAATAGACCAATACTTTCAAACCCAAGATACTGGGCATGACTTATGTGTTGGTTTTGTTTTTCCCACACGACTGCAAGTCTTTTTGGATGGAACCAAATCCTATGTTTTATATACCCCAAGGCCCATACAGGCCTCTCAATAAATATTTGTTGAATGAATGAATGTTATTAGACTTAATTACTGATAACCACATCTCCTGATCCATACTGAGAACACTGTAGTGTTGTGCCAGTTACTTGTGAAAAATACATTAAAATATTATCATCACAAGTGTCACACATCAAGATTGTCTACTTCAAATCTAACATGGTCAGAGTAGAAATCAAATAATGACTTATTTGTAAATGATTTACAAATGACATACACTAGCTTATTTGAACCTCAAAGCAAGTATACATTTCCCTGCCCTAGTAGCTGTTACCTAGTACTACTAAAGATTCGGTATCCTGCACTAACATGCTCCTTATTATATTGAAGTTACCTGTTTGTCTGGGTTCCTCTCTCTAACTAAACTTCAATCTCCTGAGGACAAATCTTTTCTTAATATCTCAGAGCCTAGCTAGCACGTAGGATACTCAGTAATTTGTTAGGCTGAATTACCACATCTTCCTTCATAAGGACTCCAGCATTCACCCCTTCTTCCTCTTTTTCTCTTGGTCTCACCATGTCCACCAAAGTTCAGGCCCTCTCCACCTTTCACTTGAATGTTGCTCCTACAGGGTTTGAATATTATCAGATCTTCTCCTTGCTGTTTTGTCCAGTGGACCTATTTCAACCTCCCTGCCATTACTGTCACTATCCAGTAAAATGATTAACATTCCTCATTGTAAAGAATGGCTTCTATATTCCTTGAATTAGGATTCAGAGATTTCCAGGTTTGGATTCCACCCATATTTTCAGCCTTACCTTTCTTCTCTTCTCTAGACTTTATATTCTTTACTAGAAGCCCGATGCACGAAATTCGTGCAAGGGGCTCAGCCCTCGCAGCCCCGGCTTCGTCTGGAAGGTCGTTTGGTTGTCTGGTCTAACTAGCATATTACGCTTTTATTATTATAGACTAGTGGCCCGGTGCAAAAAATTCGTGCACTGGAGGGGGGTCCCCCAGCCTGGCCTGTGCCCTGTCACAGTGTGGGAGCCCTGCGATTGATCGCCCCAAAGAGGTAGGCCCCACCCACCCATCTGGAGCTCCTTCATGGATTGCCCCAAAGAGGTAGGCTAGAGCTGTGGAGCCCCAGGCCTCCAAGCCGCATGGGGACCTGCCAGCCTCGCCTCCCCCACGTGATGCAGTGGAGGCTGGGCCCCCAAGGCCTCTGCACCAAGCAGGAACCTGCTGGACCAGCCTCCTCCGTGCCGTGTGGAGCCACGGGACCCCCAGGCCTGGCCGCATGTGGAGCTGGGAGGAGGCAGGACTCCCAGGCAGTCTCCGTGCTGCGCACACAGCGTCAAGCCCAGCCCCGCCCACCTGTTATGTGCACAGCCATCTTGTGACGACGTGAAGGCATCAAGGTGTGACGGTATGAGGACCACCTAGGCTTTTATTAGTAAGATATTCTGGCCAAACTGGTCTGCGTGCCTTGACTCAAAGTGCCCTGAACTTGCCCTTCTCTTGGCTGTCTAAGCTTCCTCTTTATATACACCTATTTCCCTCACCTCTCTGATGCCTTACTTATCTGACTTTCACGACCAACTTATAAGTCACAACTCTCACCAGTCTCCAAGGTTTGTGGCCTTCTTATTCGAATGATAGCACTTGCCACATTCTCTCATATGTCATAACTATCTGTGACTGAGATTTCTTCCTCAAGGAATTAAAAGGAGTTCTACTTTCAGAGAAGGGATACATTTTGTTCAAACTTGTATCTCTGATAGTATCAAACATTCTCATAAATATTCAACAAATGTTTTCTGAGTGGATTTATTCTGCCAGCTCAGGAAGTTTAGCCAACTGTCTTTTCTTCTATGGCCACGATTTGTCCTTAGAGCCAGTGACACATGATGTAGTTCTTGCATCATTTCCTGTGTATGTGATTGATCTTCCCAGTAAGCTTGTTAGCTCACTGTGGAGAGAGACCCTAATGTGAACACACACAGGCTTTGGCATCAGATAATCTAGTCTTAGATCCTAATTTGCCATTCACTAGTTGCATGCCCTTGGAAAAGTTACTTAACCTCCCTAAATTTCCATTTCTTCAACTGTAAAGTGAGTTGATTCATTGGTGGTTATTAAATAAAATAAGGTATTGAGATCACTTAACCTAATGCCTGTCACATAGTAAGTGCTCACTCAATGCCAGTCAATATTAGCAGCAGCAGACCTTTTGTAGGGCAGACAATGCCTAGCATCAGTATATAAATGATAATAAAAATGATATTTGACAGTGGTGACAAAGATCATTGAACCTCTGTGCTCTAGCTATTAAATAAATCTTATTCTCTAAAGAAAAGCATGTTAAGTTAATACATACTCCTCACTTTACCTCACTTTGAAGGTATATATGACCTGGAGACAGTATCTGAAGGAGAATCCAGGCCCACAATTAAGCACCAGAAGTGGTACAAAAAGAACTGTATGATCCCTGGGCTCATTCAGAATGAAACTGATGCTTAGAATTGGGGCTGCAAGCATTTTTCTCCCTTTAAAACACTTACTATTATTAATGGGTTGAAATTTTTATTGTAAAAGCCAAATTGTTACATGGATCTTGGTAGAGGTGTTGTTGCTTTAGGGTTGGTATTTCTGAAGTTAGTTTTAGCAATATCTAAGCTAAGGCATTATGTTTATCCTATATAATAAAAGCCTAATATGTTAAGTGTCCGGTTGTCTGGTCGTCCGTTCAACCAATCAAAACATAATATGCTGATATGCTAAGTTCACTCAACCGCTCTCAATGACGTGCACTGACCACCAGGGGGCAGACGTTCCGACTGGTAGGTTAGCTTGCTGCTGGGGTCCAGCCAATCGGGACTAGTGAGACAGGCTGGACATGCCCTGGAGCCTTCCCGTGGTCCCTTTCTGGCTGGCCAAACTCCCATGTCCCTCCCTGGCCCGATCGTGCACTGGTGGGGTTCCTCAGCCTGGCCTGCACCGTCTCAAAATCCGGGACCCCTCAGGGAATGTTGGAGAGCCAGTTTCACCTGATCCCGCAGGCCAGGCTGAGGGACCAGACTGGTGCACGAATTCATGCACCAGGCCTCTAGTTTAGAATATTTCCCCCCCAAAAGTTGAACTAATGAAGTAGCAAACTTCTTGAAAAATAGTTTCAGTGATAAACTAGCTCACTGGAAGAAAAGTTAATGGAAAACTATTTGACTTCTTAGTAATTCCTAGTGTAAATCATTATTCCTTGGGAAAATGGAGTAGAATGAAAGCTACATAAAAATTCTGAATTTTGTCTCTTAGGTCACAGTGACTGCATCTAGTAGGTACTTGACAATTTGTTGAATGAATTAATGAATGGGGTAGGAATCTCAAAGAATAATAAAATTTGCCAAATATAGTTAAAGGCTCTGGTAAGCAGGACACCTACCTTTCCTGTCACCTTAGAGGCTCCACCCGCCACGCTCCACAGTGTGCCCTGCAGGCCCCAGCTGGAGTGGAGGAACAGTGGTGCACTGGCTCAGTTAGTTAGAACTTTGTCCCAATATGCCAAAATTTCGGTTTGATCACTGGTCAGGGCACATATAAGAATCAACCAATGAATGCATAAATAAGTGGAACAACAAATTGATATTTCTCTCTCCTGCCCCACTCTCTTTCTCTAAACTCAATCAATAAATTTTTAAAAATCAAATATAGTTAAGAAAATAAGGAAAAAAATTAACTAGGACCCAAGATTTAAATAATTCCCAATACCCCTTGCTGCCAATTATAGACTATCAGTGCAGGGTTGAGGCCAGATGTTGAGTGACTTGCTCAAGATCAGACACCAACTTAATAATAAAGCTAGAATAAAAACCCAGGCTCTCTGAATCCTAATATAATCTTCACCATACTGCTAGTGCATAAAACAATATACATGAAAAGGCCAGGGAGGTTATTTATTTAATCTAATGTTAAACTCATGACATTTATAAAGCAAAGTTGTAAATTGTAGCAACTGCACTGATCTTTGTGAGTTTATGACACCTCTGTTGGCCAGACTCTTTTCATGTGTTTAATGAAAGAAAAAACGGGCCACTGACTGTCCTCCTTGCCTTTGGATAAATATGGTGAACTCCTCTGCATATGGCTGAATTAAAGACCAGGCTCAATGGGCAGCAGCCTGTGATGCTAGGTCACAGGGCTACCAAAGTATTAAAGACATTTAACAAGATGGAGAAAGCTGTACTTATCATAACTCATTTCAGAGAGAGGGTAGTTTATGTTGGAAGTGATGTTTGATAATTTGCTCAACACTCCCACCTCACCCTCCTCACCAAAGAGCAAAGTTAAATCACAGTGAATTGGGTTAAAGTACTTCTCAATCCAAGGATGTGAAACTTGGTAACTTCTGAGTGGTGATTTCAGCAAGTGGGTGGATTTGGAGCCAAAGCTGAATGATTTTTGACAGTAGAGGATAAATTAAGCATAGCCACAAGGGAGTCTCCTTTCGCTCTCCTTTCATTGCCCATTCTTCTGAATTGGGCTAACAAATTTTTAAAGAATTACTCTTTAAAGGGGCATCAATTATTAATTTTTCCAGGGTGCCTTGGACTGGCCTGGCCATCAAAGGGGCGACTGACCAAACCAAATGTGGATGCTTGAGTTTGGTCCAGTTCTGAAGCAGAGAAGGAATGGATTATATCTTGAAGTTATTTATAGCTGAAAATTCTAGGCCAGCTGATGGAAAAATCTATCAAAAGCTTCTAATAGTTCTCATAAAATATATCAAAAGAAAGAAAAAAAAACCAGAACCCATTTTTAGCCAAAATTTTGGCTACAATGTTTGCTAACAGTTAAATTCAGCTCTATTTAATTCTTATAACAGAAAGAATTAACTGCTTAGCCCTAGAACAAAAGAACACAGATATACTCTAGTGCAGTGGTTCTCAACCTTCCTAATGCCGCAACCCTTTAATACAGTTCCTCATGCTGTGGTGACCCCCAACCATAAAATTATTTTCGTTGCTACTTCATAACTGTAATTTTGCTACTGTTATGAATCATAATGTACATATCTGATATGCAGGATGTATTTTCATTGTTCGCGACCCACAGGTTGAGAACCGCTGCTCTAGTGCTGCCATTTAATTAGCCCTGTGGTCTTGCACATGTTATTGACCTTTCTGAGATTCACTTTCCTCATTTGTCTAATGGGCATGACAAACCTAATTGTACATTTAAATGAGATATTGTTTTAAAAAATACTGTTAGAGCTCCTGGCACACAAGTAGTCAATAAATATTACTGAATTAATTAATAACTGGTGAATTAATTAATATTAATGAACATTACTAAGTAATCATCTATAAAGCTTTATATGAAACCTTTATGATAGTGATAAAACATGACTGACAGACATCTATTTGGCCTCAAGAGCAGTGTATATGTGTACAGTTTACAATCAATACATAAATTTATTCACAAGAAATATATTAATTTCTTCCAAGAAAAAAACACAGAAAGTTAATGAAAACATATTCAAGGATTCTGAAAGTAATCACAAATCCATATATATCTTCATGTCTGGACCACAAATGTAATATGGAACACATATCATGTACAAACCCATGTTGAATTTGCAAACTGAAATCTCACAAAATCCCACTGGAAATATCTCTTGAGGAGTAACAACCTTTAATTCACTTTTTAACTTTTCATGGATCCTACTGACATCTTCAATTCCTTGGAAACATGAAAAGATATGCTTATATAATGCCAAACTTGTATACACATATACACACAAATATATATAATTCCACATTGTATTGATATATTAAATTTGGGGGGAATTATTTTAAATGTTACAGTAAATTATGTGTAGCAATAATTGTGTTTAGACTGCTTAGAAAGATAGAAGTGAAAGAAGCAGTTGGGAAATAACCAGACTAACCCAGTTGATTGACATATCTATTATGGAAAAAAAAAACAGACCAAAAAGAGTATTGTAATAGGAAGTGGCTATCTCTATGATTCAAACTAACACCGTTTTCTGATCAGCTACCCAGTGAATTTGTTTTAGCAGTTTTTGGAAAATGGACTATGCATGGTGAACAAGAAAGAACAGTGGACTTGCAAAACTAGCCATATGATGTTAGTTAAGATAGCCAAGTTACTTTTCTCTAGTTTCAGTTTCCTCATCTGTAAAATGGCTATAAATATTCCACCCTGGCCCTAGCCAGTTTGGCTCAGTGGATAGAGCATCGACCTGCAAACTGAAGGTTCCGGGGTTTGATTCCAGTCAAGGGCACTTGTCTGGGTTTCAGGCTTGATCCCCAGTAAGGGGCCTGCAGGAGGCAGTTGATCAAGGATTCTCTCTCATCATTGATGTTTCTATCTCTCTCACTTTCCCTTCCTCTCTGAAATCAATAAAAGTATATTTTTTAAAAATTGCACCCTGCTTATTTTACGAGGATAATCTGATCAATGCCCTAATTTCGCCCATGAGAAAACTGAGTAGCAAAGTGATTCTCTTAAGGTTACATAGCTAATCAGTGACACAATCATGACTAGAAATAAAAGTCTTTTGAAGAGTTGGACTTTCTGCAGTAACAAAGCTGTCATTGAAGCAGTAGATAGGAAAGTGCTTTGAAAAATGTAACATAAGGGTTTCGTTCAGTAGAAGTACTATGGAGTGTATCTACTTAAACTACAATCAAGAGCGTCATGTGGCAATTAAGAAATGCCTTTGAGATTGTACCTTACATTCAGCAATAGCCATCTTTCCTTTAAAATCAAATAGAATCTGTTTCATTTCTCAATGAAGATATAAGAAATAAACAATTAACTGAATTAATTCAGACACTGAAGTGGATTTTCAGGGACTTGACTGACCCAAGTTAGTTTTCTACAAAGTCTAAATTAATCAGATAATTGCTAATTCTGCCTTTTGTTTTGTGCTGTGTACAGTCTGCATTTGTTGACATATACCTAGTAACAAGAATAGTCATTTAAAAGTTTTTAAAATCCCAAATCTGAACTAAATGATCAAGTTCCTAAGCACACTACTTCTTTAGGCATCTTCTCCAGTCATTACTTTAAAAGTTTAATTTTTTTAATCTGAATGTGAGCATTAATTCCGTTTTTGTGATATAAAGAAAATTTTTAAGCAAACAAATGAAAAAAACATATCAACCTAAACTGATAATCCAGGATATTGTGAACATGTTTTGTTATACTGTCAGTAAAACAAAAACTTAAATGCCTCTCTTGGCATGACTATAAACAGCAGTTTAGTCTTTTAGATTCAAGTGTTACTGACACATTGAAAAAATATAGTCAGCTTATTATGGTTTAAAATAATCTCCACTTAACAGCTATCAATGTTTTAAAATTAGGCAAACAGTGCTAATCAACCTCCTAATATCAGAAGGAAAGTTTAGAAAGTAATTTAATTAACTGGTTCTGAAAAATTAATTACATATGTAATGAGCCTCATTAGACCTTTCCTGCCCTGTCCGGGTAGCTAAACTGATTAGAGCATCCCAATATGCCAAGGTTGCAGGTTTGATCCCTGGTCAGGGCACATATAAGAATCAACCAATGAATGAATAAATACGTGGAACAACAAAAATCGATGTCTCTTTCTCTCCATCTTCCTTTCTCCCTCCCTCCCTTCTTCTCTCTCTCTAAAATCCATAAATAAATAAAAAAGAAAGAATAGACTTCCTGTTTCATCAGAATTTCAGATTAAAGGATGACTGGTCTTTTCACTTATAATTTCTTTGTGGTTCACAGAGCATAAAATAGACTGTTGGTTATGATGATCATTAAATATTTTACCCTAATAAATTTAGGACTAGAACATTAAAATAAACTGACCTGAACATGGAACTCTTATGTTTTTACTATATTAATTCTTGCATCCCAATGTAAAGATTTTACTTGGTGTGTATGTATGTGCACGAGTGTGTGTGTGTTGGCGAAAATTGACAAAAAACCAAACCCACAACATTAACTTTCAAATTTAGCACACCAATATATTTTGGTTTTGCCATGTTGAGTATAAACTAAGTAAAAACTTAATGTAACATAATAACTGTGGATTACTCAGATAGTTTTCATAAACAGTTGGCCAATTGTAACTTACCATAGCTGTCACTATACACTTAACATAAATGTTAATTTAAGAATATTAAACTTGTAAATGTTCTGGTAAATAAGGCTTGTGCTGTTTTCAAATGTTATAGAATAGCACTAGAGGATTTTTAAACCAAACTTAGCCCCAATTTCCCTTCACTGTTTTAAAATTCTTTAGTTTTACACATAAAAAGCTGTAATCATGTTTGAATGCCTTTTCAATGAGTCCCTTGAGGATTCAAACTGCATAGAGAAATGTATTTGATAGGTTTACATCTTGGAGGTGAGAGAATAAATAAACTACAAAAACAATATTGCCAGAGATGTGCTGTACTTTTTAATATAAGAAAACATTGGCATCAAGTAAAGTCCCACTGCCTGTTCACTAAGAA